TCATATGACGACAAATATAGACACTTCTCCATGGCAAAGATGAGACAAGTTTTAAATATTTACAATAGCCGTAAACAAAAAGGTTTGGGAAACCATTCCCCTGAAGAAATGAAAAACAACCCTGACTTAGAGAAAGACTATATATTTTAATAGTTTAGTCAAAAGAGACAAACAAGAAAGAATGCCAGGCTTCAAACTTAAGAAAGGTGACAAAGTAAAAATAGAAATACCTAAACGCGACCCATATGAAAATACTATTGACTATGACAACAATGGGAACTCGACAGGTACTCACGTTCGTGTTCGTAAAAATAGAAGAAGTATACAAGAGAATATTATGAAGTTTTAGGCAAACATGGCAAAATGTACAGACTGCAAGCAGAAGATAAAACTACTATTGTCAGACCTCGTTTCAAACTTGTTAAGGTTCAAGGTGGTATACTTTCAAAGACAGTTCCTAACAAATATAAGACAACTCCTGACGAATATGCTAAAGAAGTTGAAAATGACGACTAAGCAAATTCTATACCATGCGTAAACTGTCATGTAAGGTGGCATGTAGTCTTTACTCTGTCCCGTTGTTTGCGTATACCCTGAAACGCGATGTGTATGGTTTCCTTCTCCCTGTGTGCTACCCCAGAAACAATTTATAGCAAACTGAACGTTGTCTTTAACATCATATCCTTTACCTTTTTTCATTGCTGACCAATCCCAAAATCTATGCTTATGCCAACCTGCTTCAGTTGTACTTAAATCTATGTAGTGACTGTGTGCAGGTAAGTTTTCACCTGAAATCGTTTTACTTCCACCTGTTTCCTTTGAAGAGTTTGCACAATACAAAAACCTGTCGACTATTTGAGTCCAAGTTCCAAAACCAAGTACTACTTCTGGTTTGGTAGAGTTCATTGACGTGTAAATAGAACCTATAGGATATAGTGTTTGAAGTATTTCTGTCTTTAACGTTTGAAGCTCTGTTTTGTCAGCTTTTTTATCATATAAATCTTGAGCAGTGAATTTAACATTGTTTTCATCCTCCATGACATAGACATTTCTACATCTAGTGTATTTCATCGTCGTTATGTCATCCTCCGATGTTAAACCTTGTGGAAAGTTAGGAGGTTTCCAATTTAATACATCCCCACCAGTTCCATCAGGTTCTTCAACCGTTCCTGCAATATTTTCTATACCAACAGTTGCGAAGAAATCGTGTGTATGGTTCTTATCTGCCTTCTTTTCAAGGCTAACGTTTAAGTTTGTAATATCAGATATAGTATGTGTATGTCCAACGTCACTTTTCCTGTTTAAGGTTTCTTGTAAGTTTGTAATATCAGATATAGTATGTGTATGTCCAACGTCACTTTTCCTGTTTAAGGTTTCTTGTAAGTTTGTAATATTTGCAATGGTATGTGTATGTCCAACGTCACTTTTCCTGTTTAAGGTTTCTTGTAAGTTTGTAATATTTGCAATGGTATGTGTATGTCCAACGTCACTTTTCCTGTTTAAGGTTTCTTGTAAGTTTGTAATATTTGCAATGGTATGTGTATGTCCAACGTCACTTTTCCTGTTTAAGGTTTCTTGTAAGTTTGTAATATTTGCAATGGTATGTGTATGTCCAAACGTCACTTTTCCTGTTTAAGGTTTCTTGTAAGTTTGTAATATTTGCAATGGTATGTGTATGAGTCTTTTTAGAATATTCGTTTTCAGCTCTTGTCACTTCACTTGACATTTTATTGTCAACATATGTTTTGTCTGCTAGTTCAGGATGAGTATGTTCTTTTGTTGCATATGTTGCATCTGCTCTGTCATGTTCTTCTTGAACTTTTTCAATGACATACTCTTTGTCAGCTTTGTTGTCAACATCTGCTTTTGTTGCATATGTTGCATCTGCTCTGTCATGTTCTTCTTGAATGTTCTTTTTGTCTAATGACATACTCTTTGCTCGCTTTGTGTCACATCTCTGCATTTCAAAAGAAAGTTTCTTTTTGTCATAGGCTTTCTTCTGTTGTTTAAAGTTCCTTTTGTTGGATTTATACAGACAGTATGGTTCCTATTGTCTTGAAATAGAAACTCATCTGTCATTGGGTTTAATGTCAGTTTTAAGTTTCCTTCTTTCAATGACTCAGATATCTTAGAATAGTTTGAAAAGTTTGTTGTGTTCTTATTTAGAGCTTGCACAATGAGTTGTCGGTTGTGTTGTATTTCTCTCATAGACGCTGTTTCTTTCGACATTTTTATTCTAGATAAAATATGCTTTCAATAGAAAAAGAAAATTCAAGAGTTGCTACAACTAAACCATTAGATGAACTTTTTACTAATGTCGGTCAAAAGTTTGAGACAGAGACCGTAAAACATGAAGGCTATCGTTTTGACTACCCCTTAAGATGGCTAAGAGACCCATCCGTCACAAAAGCTATTGGCTTTCGTAGAATGAAGTTCATTTCAGAAGCCATACATGGTTTCCCATTTACGGTCGCTTTTGAAGTTCGATACTATAACAAAGAAAAACGTGCGTATGAGAAATTTGTACAGGGAAAACTTTTACAAGTGAATTTGCTTGTAAACTTAGAAACAACTCTTCAAGCTTTTCAAGAAAAAATAAACGATATCTATATCGAATATGCAAACCAGTATAACATTGACGAAGGAGAGTACCATCTCGATATTGTTTATGACAGGAAAAATGCAACTGTTAAAATCAATAGAATAGAAGACCTTGGAGAAGACGTTTATATTTCTACAAAATATAACAACTTGGCATGGTATAGATTTTTGAGGATGTTAAATCAGCCTGCAGAATATCCAGTACACCCGAACTTTTATGAAGTCGAAAACCCTAATGGAACATATGAAAATGTTTTCGACTCAGATGCTATTATCGTTCATGCTTCATTTTCTGGTGCACAAAACTCTTTTTTATGCTTGGCAAATGACTTTTACGAAAAACCTACAAAGCTATATGAACCACCGAGTGGAAGTATTTCAGACTTTCAAGTATGGTTTACAACAGATGGAAGAAAGAGAATAGTTCCATTATACCATGCGTTTTACTTAGAACTTAGTCTCATATACAACTACTATCGAACGGTAAAAATATAATCTTTTAATACGGTTGAGGTGTTGGATTTGGTTGCCAACTAGACTGTGGTGCAGGTTCAGGCTGTTGTATAACAGGAGCTTGTTCTTCTGGTTCAGGGTCTTTAGGTATAATACCAACGAACTGACCTACTCTTTTACCAATATTTTTGACTCCGTTCCAAATTCCTCTTCCGACAGATTTTATTCCATTCCATATACCTCTTCCAACATTTCGAAAGAAGTTTCCTATTCTTCCAAAGAAACCCATTTTACTATATGTAAAAATCTAATGTCCGCCTAGTCTCTTACGTTTCCTTCTGAGTTCCATTGCATTTTTTAACTGGAGCTCATACATTCTATTTCTCCTCTGGTAGAAAACATACTCTGGGTCAACTCCTGTGTTCGCGTCATCTGCATAGAGTTGTTTATATCCCACTTCAGGGTTTGTATAAAACTCTTTCCATCTCATATTTGCATACCATGGTGGCAAACCTAACGCAGCGTCATTTGACATGGCAGTTTGCATTTGTACATCTGTTGGCACTTGACCATAGTTTGCCATTGCAGTTTGTATTCTAACTTCATTTGGAATATTCTCTGGGTTTGGTTGTCCAGGTTGCTGTGCATTCGCTAAGTTCTGTGCGTCCATTTAATATTAGATAAAAATATCTCTTACGAGTACATATACTGGACATTTGCAGGCATTGGTTCATCTTCATATTCTCTATATCTTTCTGCCACGTCAAATAAGTAAATGACACAATGGAAAAAACCTAAAACAAGTAGTCCTATTTCAAACCACATTTAGTTACCAATAAAATTTCTTTGTTGTGACACTTTTTCCGGTTTATAGGACCTCTCTCATATTCTATCTTATCGTATCTAAAATCATAGTCATGTATGTCCTCTAACCATCTCATGACACTTTCCAAACCACTTTTATCGGATGTAAAGTAAAAGCATGGATGGTTATGTAAAACGTCTAAAGTTTCTAAAGAGTCTCTCAAAGTCCAGTCTACTTGGTATTGAAAATCCCATGTGTTATAGAACGGCGGGTCCATTATAAAGAAAACATTTTCCTTGTCTTTATATTTTTCATACAACTCTGTCCAACGACATCTCACAAACTCTATACCCTCAGTATATTTTTCTATGTTCTTTTTGAAAACATTTGTATAGTTAAGATATAAAACTTTTGACATAAGTGTTTCAATGTCATGAACTCTTATAGAACCACTATATAATAGTCTAGCAGATATACTATCCCAGTCTATATATTCTGCTTTTTTCAAAACCTCTCTCACAATATTTTTGTTATCTAATGGTATACGTTCCATCTTACCTATAGGTATCTTTTCTTTCAACTCACTCAATATTTTGTTTGTGTCTGGTATATGTTTGAGACGGTTCATATAGTTGTCGAAGTCATTGCATATAATCTTTGAGTCAGGAAATACAGTATGGCACAAATGAGATATATAGAAACTTCCACCGAACAAATCTACAAATGTTAGACCATTCGGTAGTTTCTTAAGTTCTCTCAATAGAATATCTTTACATCTACTCTTATTTCCAAAGAAGGGTAACGGTGGTTTTGTAAAATTCATTTTATATTTAATAAAAATGTTTTTTCCCTGAAAAGTGACAGAAAAGTGACAAAACATCTTCGGGGCTAGAGGGCACGAAGTGCCTGGAAGCCTCAATCCCTTTTTTTTTTTTTTTCTGTTATACTTTTTTTTGTTAGAGAGTGGTATGTAGCCCCTAAAAAGATTATTTAATGGAAAAATAGTTACTATACTCTCTTCATATATCCAATTGGTTATCAATAAGGTTTATCAGCCTTCAGAATAGTTAGTAGAAGTAAGGGGAAAAAAAAGAACAAATATGATAAAACAAACTTTAGATTACAATAATAATTTCAGTTTCTATTTTGATCCTGATGAAGTTGAATATAAGTAACTTTCAGAATCATAAGAATATTCATCATCCTTATTATCCTCAACCTTCTCTTTCTCATCCTTCATTTCCTTTCCTTCATCATTTTTCATTTCGTCACTTTTTACTTCACTTTTTTCTTCTTTATTTTTGTCACTTTTTGGTTCACTTTTTTCTTCGTTTTGTTGTTTATGGTCTGAATCCGATGAAGTTTTAGAGTCTTCTGTTTTCTTCTTGAGCTGACGTTTCACGAGGTTGTAATAAGTTCCACCTTTTGCGATTAATTCTTCGTGAGTTCCAACTTCAACAATTTTTCCTGTGTCCAAAACAAAAATTACATCGCAACCAATTACTGTTGACAATCTGTGTGCAACAGCAATTCCTGTTCTCTCTTTGAGTACTTTGTCAAGAGCGTCTTGTACCTTCTTTTCGCTCTCGCTGTCCAAAGCAGAAGTTGCTTCATCTGTGATCAAAATTTTTGGATTTTTCATGACAGCTCTTGCGATTGCGATTCTCTGACGTTGTCCGCCAGATAGAACTGATCCTCTGTCACCAACCAAATGGTCAAGTCCGTCACTGAATTTTGTCACAAACTTTTTGGCGTTTGCTTTTTCGAGAGCTGTCATAATTTCGTCATCAGAGTGATTTCCTTGTACACCGTACAAAACATTGTCTCTGATTGTTCCTTGGAACAAAATCGGTTCTTGTGAAACCAATGACATTTGTCTGTGAAGCCATCTCGGGTCAATTTCCTTGATATTGTGGCCATCAATGAAAATGTTGCCGTCTGTGGCATCGTAATACCTTTCTATCAACTGGATGGTCGTTGATTTGCCACTGCCAGAGTGACCAACGAATGCAACTGATTGGCCGGGCTTAACTTCGAACGAAACATCGTTCAAAGCGTATGTCTTTCGGGTAGGATACACAAATGATACGTGATCGAACTTAATGTGGCCTTGGAAATCGTCATATGTAAGACCACCATCGAAATTAACATTTGGTTTGTAGTTTATTAGGTCTAGAACTCTTGCCGCTGATTGTATGGCCCTGGATTCCTCGCCGATCATGAACTGGAAGCTGATTAAAGCCCATGTGGCTGCAAAAGTGAATCCAAATACAGCAAGAAGTGAACCACTGCTAAATGGTCGACCATTCTCTCGTTCTCCAACAAAAGTGGCTCCGTAATATAAGACACCGGCTGAATAACCGTAAATAATAAGGAAAATTAAGCCAAATTCGTAGCCAATGTTCATGAAAAACTTTCTATCGAATGTTTGGCTCTTTCTCGTTTGATCTCCAAATCTTTTGACTTCTCCGTCTTCGCGATTAAAAGATCTGACTGTTCTTGCGTTGGAAAGTGTCTCTTCTGCAACAGTTATACTCTCAAAAACATGTTTGAACCTGTTTCCTGCATTGTTGTTAAGAAATAGCTGTACAGCAAGCATAGTAATGAGAATTACAGGAATTGATGTGGTCATAACTAATCCTAGACGCCAGCTCTGTATGTAAATGAATAAGAAAACAATAACGAACTGTGCAATGCTTTGTATCTGAGCGTTTTTGGTTGATCCGAATGATTCTTGAATTGTTGTCGCATCTTCACCGAGAATAGTGAGTAAACTACCGATAGAATGTGTATCAAAGAAAGTTACATCATATGTCATCATGTGTGAGAAGATTTCATCACGAATTCTCACTGCAATTCGTGCTCCAACTCTTGTCCATAAAAACGTAGCGAAAAAGAAGGCAATTGAAATGAAAATCAATGAAATAACAAGAGATAATACTTGTCTCTTCGTTCCTGGCATCGGATCATCGATTTCTCCTAATTTATATTTTGCCGTTTCAGTAATGATATTACCGATGAACTGGTATGTCAAGATAGGAGCTAAACCTGCCAATATTGCTGGGAAAATAGCTATAATGGCTAATTTATCCGAAAACAATAATGAATAAACTCTTTTACGCGCTGTTTTCATCTCATCCTTGGAGAAAACCTTCTCCTTCTTGGATTTCTCGGTTAGAGAGTTGGAATACTCAGAAGAAGGTCTGATTGACATTCAAAATTTTGATTGCGATAAAAAATTTGATTTGAACCAATTCTGAAGAAAAATTAAGAAATCGCTATGAGATTTGTATCGACTAGACCATTTGATTGTGAGTATTACATAAGAAATCCTTTTAAAAAAGTTTGATGGGTAATTTGTAAACATCAGAAATAATATTCTCTCACAATTGGTCGGCCAACAATTAATTTAGATGTTATAAAATATCAGCCGAATTCACACGAAATAAAGTTATGTTGGATTGGTCATTCAAAAATTTTATTGAAACAAAAAAATTTTTCTTTTATCAAATCATTTTTTCAATGAGCAACCCTGAAATAGACCAAATTAAAGAAGAAACATCAGAAAAAGTGAAGAACTGAAAGAAAAACCAAGGTTCAAGCACTTCTGGAAAGTTCTGGGCTATTACAAAAACAGATGGGTCTATTTCAATGCATTAACTTTAGGTTTAATCAACGGTATCGTTATTATGGTGTTCAACGTGCTCATTGGAAACATTACAACTGAAATTACTACATCAAATGACTTTATGGCCGCAGTTAGAAAAAATATTTACGCATATTTAATTGTTATGTGCGTTTTCACACTTATATGGTTCATTAAACAGATATGTATGTCAATAGCAGCACCGGGGTTCTTAGCAGAGACAAGAATTTTGTTATATGAAAAATATATGTCATTAGATATGGATTATTTCGATACTCATCAGTCAGGCTCATTACTTGATAGAATTACTACAGATTGTGTATTGATTTATTCGATTTACATGGAAAAATTCTGTTATATGATGGCAGATTGCGTACAAGGCCTTGCTGGCATTATTCTTTCATTCATTTACTCATGGAGAGTCTCCTTGGTCGTTTTCATCGCGCTTCCTCTTTGTATTGTTTCATTTTATATTTGTGAGCATTTAATTGGCAAATTATGGGACGATTACAACAAGGCGACCAACAGTGCAGGTACAAAAGCAGAAGAAGTCATCAACGCGTTCAGAACTGTCAAATCTTTCGATAATGAATTGAAAGAAGCCGAAACCTATCGTTTATCACTTTCCAAGGTCCTTGAAGTTGTTAAGAAGACATCGTTGATTACAGGTGTTAAAGACGGCATCTTAAACCTGATAATTAATTTTATGACAGCCGCATTCATGTATTCCAGTGTTTGGATCATCAAAAACAAGCCGCAATGGAACATGGAAACAGGTGATATCATGGTCTTGGTCACTTCTTTGATCTATTCCGCTATGGCCGTATTTCAAGCTTTAATTTTGCTTGAAGACTTCCGAAAAGCGAACGTAGCGTCCCAAAAGATCCTGGAAATACTTGAATTACCAATCAAATCCGACCAGAAGAAGGGAGAAAGTCCAGATTTAACAGTATCAGGAAAAATTGAGTTCAAAGACGTTTCATTCAAGTATTCTACAAAGGATTCATATGCTGTAAAGAACCTTTCCTTCACAGTTAACCCAGGAGAAACAGTTGCTTTCGTTGGAGAAAGTGGTTGTGGCAAATCAACAACATTACAACTGTTACAAAGGTTTTATGAAATAGAGAGTGGCCAAATTTTAGTTGATGACCATGACATTTCCAAATGGTCACCGTATTATTTGAGGACACAAATCTCTATTGTTCCACAAACTCCTGTTTTGTTTTCCATGTCAATTAAAGATAACATTAAATACGCAAGACCGAAAGCGACATCAAAAGAAATCTCTGATGCAGCACAGATAGGAAATGCTCATTCTTTCATCATGAGTCTTCCAGAAAACTACGAAACAATTGTACAACAGACATCATTGAGTGGAGGACAGAAACAAAGAATTTGCATAGCTAGAGCTGTTATTCAGAACGCGCCAATTTTGTTGTTGGATAAAGCAACTGCAGCTTTGGATACAGAAAGTGAAAGATTGGTGCAGGAAAGTCTGGAAACAATAAGAAAAGGAAAGACAGCAATCATTGTCGCACATAGATTGGCAACAGTGATAAACGCTGATAAAATTTTCGTGTTTAAGGATGGTCACATTGTAGAAGTGGGAAAACACGACGAATTACTGGCAAAAGGTGGTTACTACTTTGAACTCATCAAATTCCAGTTACAACAGTAAATCATAGTTTTATTTTTTTGTTTTTTTACTAAAAAAAATAAATTTTGTTATTATATTTGAATATGGTCGATAAAAATTGAGCGTTTTTAAAAAACCGCTGTTTGAGAGGAAAATTGAGAATCCCGATGTTTACTTTTTGACATTGTCAAAAACTTTGAAAGGATAAAAAAATTTTAGTGCCAGAAAGTTTACAAATGTGAACTTTCTGACGAACAGACTCTCAGAAAGTACTCAAATGCGGTTTTTAATTTCCACACTTTTTTTGAGCTGAATATATGCTTTTTAGTGCATTGAATATAGTTTGTTGTATCTGTTTGTGTAGGAAAATAATCTATTTTCTTAAGTAGTTAAGGCTGCACTAATGCCCAATTAGTAAATAGGGGAGTAAGTGTTCCCTTAAATAGAAAAGGGGTTTTTGATCAACTGAATACTTGTTGTAACAATATTCATATGGTTTGCTATATCTGTACAAACAATATCAAATAATTCATTCATTAATTGTAACATCATGAATGCTGATCTTTCTAAGTGCACTAAAATAAACATATTGAATGATTATGTTTTCCACTCAAACATTGATTTGTCAGACTTCAAGTTCCCACCAAACATCAACACTATTGGTGTTCATTCACTTTCTAAGACATCTATTTCAAGAATCAATCTGCCATCACGAGTTCAAACTATCAATAACTATGCATTCGAAGAATGCAGCAACTTAGACACGATCATCATTCCAGAAGACTCAAATCTTGAATTCCTTGGTATTGGTGTTTTCCGTTATTGCTTTTCGATTTCGACAATCAATTGCACATGTCCTCGATATTCTATCTTCGGTGGTGCACTTTTCAACTCTGATAAGACGAGTCTTATTCTATTCCCACCTGCATCGAGATACTCTTTCTTTTCTCTCCCTGACACAACTACGACAATCAGTCAATCTGCATTCCAAAGTTGTCGAAATCTTGTTTCTGTCTTCATTCCAAGTTTCAGTGTTCGTACTATCTCTTCTAATGCATTCGAAGGCTGCACATCTCTCAAGTCTATCAACATCCCACTTTGTGTCGAACGTGTTGAACAAGATGCATTCCTTGGTTGTTCATCACTCGAATGTGGTCTTCATATCGAGAATCGAAACAAAGATTTCATTCATAAACTCGTTAATGTCTCTGGTCTTCCATCCATTTCTATCAAACAATGTATTTCACTCTACTCCTGCAAAGTCAAACTTGACAAATTCTCAATCAACACGATCTCTCCATTCATTGTTATTTATATTTCTTAATATACTAAAATACATAAATTTAATTAACATTTTATAATTTTTATTCTAAATATAGGGTGTCCAAAGGTGTGTTTAGCACAAACCTGAATACTGCGAATAGAAATAAACAAGTTACATATATATAAAGTTTATTTAAATATAATCACCATTGGATTCAATCACGCGTTCGCAGCGATCGATCCAGGCTTGAAAGACACGCTTTAAATCATCATGAGAAAATTGCTCAAATTGCTCTCTTACAAAATTTTCAAGATCATCTGGACTCGCGAATTCGCGTCCTTCAGCTCTCTTTTTTAGCGTGCCGAATAAATAAAAGTCAGAGGGTGCAATATCAGGTGAATAAATTGTGTTTGGAACAACTTTGACATTGTTTCCCAACAAGTAATTCATTACCTTATGACTTTTGTGAACTCTTGAATTATCAAAATGAATTGCAAACTTTTGTTTTTGTTGTTTGGATTTCTCAAACTCATCAGAATTGATAATTTGAGTAAGAACATTGTCAATTAGATACTGAGCATTCATTGTATTAGGTTTTTGAAGAATATCAATTGCGATGATGCCATTCACGCCCCAAAAAACCGACAACATCATCATTGGTGTGTCAATTTTTTTCTTCGGGAATGTTTGCGGATTTTCATCCTTCGGGATCCACATGATTTTGGCTTCTGTTGCATATTGAAACCAAGACTCGTCCCCTGTTACTAAAAAGCGAAACTTCTTGGATTGATACGCACCCAATATAGAGAGGAGCTCTTTCGAAGATTGGACTCTAGATTTTTTTTGAACTGAATTAAGGTTGTGCGGAACCCAACGTGTATACGCTAGTTTGTAGTTCAAATAATTGTGCAGATAATAACTGACTGTTGTACCTGGTATCTTTGTCATCTCCTCTATCCTTCTGAGTGATGCTCTTGGGTCTTCATCTAGCGCTTGAAGAATTGCTTTGATTTTTCTTTGATCCGGCGATTTTTTGTCAATTTTTATGATGGGCGCCTTTTTGTTCATGAAGTGATACATCCTAACATGATACGTTACAGTGGAATAGCTAGGAGCATCCATACCGAAGCATTTTACCAATGTCTCGTAGATTTTTTTACAGTCTTTGCATTTTTTTGCAAGAGCGAGGATGTTTTCTTTATGATTCATTAAAAAAATGAAAAAAATCCCGCCAAAATTTCCCGCGAAACCGCCTCTTGTCTCAAAATTCATTTTATATCCCGGCATGGCGCCAAAATACAACATACTCATCATATACATATATTCATATTTTTTATTATATATTTATAATCAGCATATATCTCCTTTAATAGTCTCATATAGAGCGCTGTGCTAAACGCACCTTTAGACACCCTATATTTAAAAAAAATGGATTGAGATATTAATGTTAACAATTAAAACTTTCGAATGCTGAACATCACTTCCAATTGTGATATATAATGATGAGGAGTTTCTTAAGGATGCCGGAAAGTGAGTTGACGCGATTTCGAGTATTGCTCACAACTTCATTTGTAGTAAAGATATTACTGATATTGAAACATATATTAGTAGGGTATATATATAAGGTTTTTACTCTTATATACGAAAAAAAGAGATCTGACATTGTGTCAGATCTCAGTAAAAGTGACATTTACATGTCAAAAAAATAGAATGAGTTTAAGTAATTAAAATTGAGGGTGAGAGTAGTATTGTATGAAATAATATCTCTCACCCTCCAATTCATCCTATGGCGCCGAAAAAATTTTGGTGAAATGCGACCACATTTCACCAAAATTTCTCGGCGCCATATAGAGAACTAGAGCCTGTGAGGTACTGATACTATCCATGTACCTCGCAGGCTCTAGTTCCAAGCCAAAATGGCTAAAAATTGCCCGCAATTGTTCACATTGCGGGCAATTTTTAGCCATTTTGGCTGGGAATTGGAGGGTGAGAGTAGTATTGTATGAAATAATATCTCTCACCCTCCAATTCATCCTATGGCGCCGAAAAAATTTTGGTGAAATGCGACCACATTTCACCAAAATTTCTCGGCGCCATATAGAGAACTAGAGCCTGTGAGGTACTGATACTATCCATGTACCTCGCAGGCTCTAGTTCCAAGCCAAAATGGCTAAAAATTGCCCGCAATTGTTCACATTGCGGGCAATTTTTAGCCATTTTGGCTGGGAATTGGAGGGTGAGAGTAGTATTGTATGAAATAATATCTCTCACCCTCCAATTCATCCTATGGCGCCGAAAAAATTTTGGTGAAATGCGACCACATTTCACCAAAATTTCTCGGCGCCATATAGAGAACTAGAGCCTGTGAGGTACTGATACTATCCATGTACCTCGCAGGCTCTAGTTCCAAGCCAAAATGGCTAAAAATTGCCCGCAATTGTTCACATTCCCATCTTTTGTTGGTAAGACGAAGAATATGAAATAAATTATGAAGAAGATAATGATGAATAAAATATCACTTTTTATATTTTTGACACGTAAAGTTGTCACTTTTCTGTCAAACTGTTTTTATCGTTTTCGTATATAACATTACTTCTATGATATTGAAGTCTTGGATACTTCCAGTCCTCAGAAAACTGCTTCTCAATTTTCGAACTTGCGGACCTATCCTGTCCCTGGTTTTTCCATCGCATGGACTGATACTGCAAGAATAATATCTAGGTACAAGATACTAGATATTTTACAGGAAACATTTGGAACTTGTTAAAAAGTGTCGAGATGCAATTAGTGGGTAACTTCAAAACTAAAACCTATTACACTACTATCTCACTGGATTCTACTGATTACTATTAAAGAACAAACCTGATGGTAGCTGTTTCCAGCCGAAATGGCCACATTCAAAGTTTAATTAGATTTGTATCTGGTCCTCCAATATTGTGTTTAAACCAGAGAGATACATTAAACACAAAATTTCAATAGTTATACTAAAAGTTTTACAGAACAAATTTTATTTTTAATTCTCATATGTTGAGATAAATGTACTTTTTCCCTTCCAGATTTTAAAAATTTTGTATGATTTTTGTGTGTTTTTGATAACCTTATATTCAAAAACATCGATTTTACTTAGTTTAAATATGATACTTTGATATATCATCACTTAAGATTTATACTCATATAAATGAATCAAAATAAAAATGATTTTATGTCTTTGAAAAGTGATGTTTTTTAATAGCTTTCACTTCACTTTCCGGCACCCTTAATATAAAAAACTAAGAAACTGATTTGAATTGTTGTGGAAACAGAATCTTATGATTTTTATGAATATAAAGCCTAATTTTATTTGTGGTTCAAGATAAAATGAAAACCTTAAAAATAAGGTTATTATAATTTATATGATTTGACAATAGATCAATATCTAGATGACATATATAGATGAAAATACAAAATATGTATATTCAACTGACAAACGAATTCTGCATTCTGTTCCAAGTAATGTTGTTCACGCGGTTGTTCCAAAGTTTGTGGAAATCATTAAAGGAGAAAGTAGTAATCTATATGCATTCAAAGAATGTAATTCTATTATTGAGACCGTATCATTTGAAGAAAACACTCTTCTTTCAGAAATTCAAAATTATTCCTTTTTTAAATGCTATCATCTTAACAATGTTGATCTCTCTTCATGCACGCATCTGACTGCTATTGGTAGTTTTGCATTTCAGCACTGTGTTTCATTAACAAGCATTATATTTCCTCAAACTTTAGTCAAAATTGGTGAATATTGTTTTTCCAATATTGGTGCTACTTCAATATCCCTTCCTTCAACACTTGAAGAATTACCATATGGATTATTCGAATCTTCATCTAAATTAAAAACAATTGATATCCCATTAACAAATAATATAAAATCTTTGAATGGCAGAATCATTGCATCAACAAATGTTAGTTTATTCACAATAACAGATAAAGTTATATCAATTGACATAAGAACTTTTGAATTTGCTTATGAATTAGAAACGATAGTTGTAGCCAAAGGAAACACATTATTTTCGGTCCAAAATAATGCTCTCATTCAAGGAACAACATTAATTAAATACCCAAATAAACGGCCAGGTGATGTTGTAATTCCAACTGGAATAACTATAATAGGAACTCTAGCTTTTAAAGAATCAATGATCACCGGTGTTACAATTCCTAACACAGTAAAAGGAATTGGAGATTGGGCTTTTGTTGGAAGTTTTTTGAAGCCAATTTATATTCCAGATTCAGTCAAAACTTTAAACTCTGCATGTTTTTATTCAATATCTACTCTTGAATCTGTTAGATTTCCTTCAGGAATTAAACAGTTGGCTAATAGTTTATTCAAACAATGCCCAAAATTAGTATCAATTGAAATTCCAGATTCTGTCACGGTAATTGGCGATAGTTGTTTTGAAGGAACAGGATTAACAGAAGTTGTTTTGCCAGATAATTTAACATCAATTGGTGGAAATGCATTTCCTCCAAATGCTAAACTTATTTTTGGTAATCAATCAAAGTTTTATGTTGATGATCAGTATTTGGTCTTAGATAAAGGAAACACATCTATTTCAATATATCTTGGTTCTACATTGACTGAAATTAAGATTCTTCCAACAGTCAAAGTTATCAAAGCGAAAACATTTTATAATAGAGCAGAACTTCAAAAGTTGAAACTTGATTCATATTCAGAATTAACAACAATTGAAGAATATGCATTTTATGGATGCACAAATCTTCAATTTGTTACTCTTCCACAGAAAATAACATCAATCGGACAATTTGCATTTTCAAAATGCAACAAACTCACAGAAATTACATTACCAAACTTAGTATCGATGTCAATTAGTTCATTTGAAAGTTGTTCTAAACTGAACAATATCATATTTGAAACAAGCTCAGTGACAACATTGAGATCTCGATCATTTTATTCATGTCAATCACTATCATCAATCAAACTCCCATCAACATTAGTTTCTATTGAATCAGAATGTTTTGCATATTGTAATCAACTTTCTATAGTTTCATTCCCACAAACTTTACAAACAATATCAAATAATGCATTCATTAATTGCAACATTGTGAATGCCGATCTTTCTAAGTGCACTAAAATAAACATATTGAATGATTATGTTTTCCACTCAAACATTGATTTGTCAGACTTCAAGTTCCCACCAAACATCAACACTATTGGTGTTCATTCACTTTCTAAGACATCTATTTCAAGAATCAATCTGCCATCACGAGTTCAAACTATCAATAACTATGCATTCGAAGAATGCAGCAACTTAGACACGATCATCATTCCAGAAGACTCAAATCTTGAATTCCTTGGTATTGGTGTTTTCCGTTATTGCTTTTCGATTTCGACAATCAATTGCACATGTCCTCGATATTCTATCTTCGGTGGTGCACTTTTCAACTCTGATAAGACGAGTCTTATTCTATTCCCACCTGCATCGAGATACTCTTTCTTTTCTCTCCCTGACACAACTACGACAATCAGTCAATCTGCATTCCAAAGTTGTCGAAATCTTGTTTCTGTCTTCATTCCAAGTTTCAGTGTTCGTACTATCTCATCTAATGCATTCGAAGGCTGCACATCTCTCAAGTCTATCAACATCCCACTTTGTGTCGAACGTGTTGAACAAGATGCATTCCTTGGTTGTTCATCACTCGAATGTGGTCTTCATATCGAGAATCGAAACAAAGATTTCATTCATAAACTCGTTAATGTCTCTGGTCTTCCTTCTATTTCTATCAAACAATGTATTTCACTCTACTCCTGCAAAGTCAAACTTGACAAATTCTCAATCAGCACAATTTCTCCATTCATTATTATTTATATTTCATAATTTATCTAAATTATTTTAAAATCTTTAGTTAATTAATTTTTATATTTGTTTCACTCTATTATATTTTTATTATCGAAAAATACTTTGTGGTATTTGACTCATATATAGCAAAATGAAAATTGATCAAAAATATAGTAAAATATTAGGTCATTTAACATACAAATTTTTAAATTTCTAAATTTGCATTACATACTTGCATTTCATATCATATAGTTATCAATATTAATTTGAAATCCTGAAATGCTATTTGTTAATAAAAATAGAACTCCACAAGAAAGTGCTTGATGCTTATGCGTCTTAATAACTCTTTATTATAGCAATAGCAAGATTTTTTAAATGATTGGAAAATTTATCCTTAATTATTTTCATTTTCTTCTGTATTCTTCTCTTTATAGCTGTGTTAAATCAATTTAATCACAAATTTACCTTCAAATCCGAATAAAATTGAAAAAAATTATCAGAAATCTAATAATTTAATCAAAAAACAAACAAAGTGAATAAGAAATTATAAGAGATAACAGTAATATAGCAATAATTTACAAATGAAAGCACTAAAAAAAAGATTTATTATAATAAAGAAAATACTCAATGATTACAATTCAGAAATTCTCTTAATTTCATCGTAGTATTCTCCGTTGTCCTCTTCTTGTTCCTCACCGGATTTATCTTCATGGACATTGTCTGATCCCTTTGCAAGTCCGAAAACGCACATTTGTATCAAGAATATGCAGTCGCAGCATAGAGGACCACCAGCGCCAATGATCCATGGCATCTGGTTCCAGCAGAACTGAGCTTCAACAGATTTGATAAAAAGTGACATCAAATAAGTTCCATTTCCTGCAATGGCAAGGATAACGTAGAATGGACTTAAATCTTTGACAATCTTATCTGTGAAGTTTTTGATGACTTGTGGGATTCTTGATGAGATGTAGATGCATGCTGAGGCCCAGCCGAATAATGTGCCAACTAAATCAGCTTTTTTGTATGGGTGAGCATAGTCAACTGCAGCTAATACTACGGCAGCTGCAACCCCTGCAACTGCTGGAGCTATAATATCGTCACTAGCATCGTCGATTTCGGTAAGATTTCGTTTCTTATTATCATTATCAGCTTTCAGTTGATCTTTGCAGCATTCTACATAGCAGCAACGATAATATATGTACTGAGAGAAGAGAATTCCATCGAGAATAACGTAAATAATGGCTTGAATGAGTTGGACAACAAGACCGCCGTTAATTAAAAGTCCGATCAAGGAGAAAACATTACCGGAGAATAGTAAACTGAAGAAGAATGGGCTCTGGCCATCAACACGCTTTGTCTTGCAGTTCTGGATGTATTGAGGAGTAGATGAACCAAGCCAGATCAAGTTTGAGAACATTCCGATCCAAAAGCTCCATTTGTCTCTTGGTGTAACAATGCACTCGCCAAATACTGACTTAATCCATTGAACATAACCCGGATTACAACTCATATTTTTTTAATTTTAATTTTTAATTGAATGTAAAAAAAATAGAATAGTTTAACGATCATTTCATATTGAAAATTTATAGTTGATTAGAGGAAAGTTGATATAGATGGTGTGTAGATAACTTTAGCATTTTTTTGGAAAACAACGATAAAAAATTTTTGAGAAAATTTCTGAAACGACCGATGGCGCTGGTCCAACATTCTTTATATTTAAATATCATTTGATTACCTATATATGGAGGTAACTTTAGCAAATTTTTAACAAAAAATTTAAACGATGAAGAAAATTGAATAGATCAAAATGTTAGATAAAATTTTAAGTGTGAATTGAATAATGAGGACTAACCTTGGTAAATATTTTAGCAAATTTTAAGTGTCCACTGTAAGGCCAAATAAGGTCTATCGTCTCCCAAAAATATTGCTCGAGATGGTGTTTTACTAAGGCCCAAAACTTAAAAAAACACAAAAAAATTAACTTTACTCTTTTGAGATCCTTATCAGATATGCATCAATTTGATGCAGTATCGCAGTTCAAATCTGATTTTTTAATGTAGATGTACTCTAACATCCTTTAAAAAATGCAAAATGATATTAATTAAGCTTTTCATTTCTGTATCATACACGAAACAAAATCGTTCATTATACTAAAATTTATCAAAGTTTGATTAATGAAAAAATAATATCTAAATTTTTACATTGAGTCGGCTATTGATATGGTTAATATTAAATCTTGTAAAAATTGGCATTATCCAGAATAATACCCACTAAAATACACAATTTTTTTAAAAAAAATTTTATCAATTGTTATGGTATATCTTTATGATAATGAATAAAATGCTTATTTTTCATAAGTAAATACATAATTTATGCTTAAACACAAAAAATAACACGAAAATTTTTGGCCAACATATCTAAACTAAGGATAATGGTTTGAATATATAAACAATAATACTTTGTCCAGGGAATTAAATTTGTGCTATCCAATTGTCAATTCTTTGAATTTTTTTTAAATGCAAGATATCCCGGCATTAGCCTCAATAAATATATATATATTATGCATCATAATATTAGTTTGTAATGGCATTAAAGCGAAATTCCTAATTTCTTCTCAATTAAATTCCTTGAAAAACATTGGAATTAATGATTGGAAATAGGTCAAAAAAATTCCTAATATAAAACTTATACTTAAGATAAAATTAAAATTCGAAAATATCTATTTTTCAAAACACGCATCCAAAAGCAAAAAAATTCGAAAAAATCATGTTCTTATAAAACTCACTGATTTTGCAATTTTTATGAGATTTGAAGTGATAGAATATATTACCATCTTATTGAAACATATGCTTCATTGTTGTATTCACATAATATTAATCAGAACACTAAGAAAAGTGGATTTTCGAAAAATGACGATAATGATTATTTGCAAATCGCCTCTCAATTTTGAGAGACTTTCAATTTTTACAGTGGACCCTTAAAAGATTTTTATTGAGAATAAAATTTCGAACAAATATTCCGGATAATATGATAATTGCAAATGCAATAGTGTTAAAAACATGAAAATTAGATTTCCATCATGTTTGGTCAATTTAACATCATTTGAATTAAATTGTTATGTTCACAAAAATTTGAGATGATTCATCGTTTTTCCAATCTCCAAACAGAAAATTTGAGATAATTAACGGAGTTGCGACCTTTGAAACGATTATGACTTCTTTATTATATTATTATTCGCATTGATCTGAAAATTATTTTGAGAATTGTTAATTTTACGAAAGATTTGATATAATTATTAAAAATATTTGCTATGATGATTTAATTTATTTTGTTTTCATATTTAATTTTAAAAAACTGGTTTTGGAGAAATTACAAAAGGAAAGCTTATCGTTTTCGATGAAATTAATAGCATTTCCCTCATCCCTAAGAAGTATATAGTAATTTGCCAATTATTCCTCTTCGAACTTTACAGTGTTTTGCGGATTCAATCAACATAAGTTAGTTTCCATTTTACATATCAATCTCAATTATTGACTAGTTACTCAGAAATATTTATGTTTGTTTTACGAACCCTGCGATCGTTCGTGGAAAACCTCATGTTAGAAATATAATGATATATCTTGTCGTATTAAAGCTTTCCATTATACTTATGCTCCAATTCTTACTATCTTCAATTTTGCATTTAATTCACATGTTCATAATTTAACCATAAAACTTATTTTTAGAACCCCAAAGTGAAGCCTGATCGCAATGTCCGCAGTAACATCCTCTATAATGTAGAGAATTTAAACTTGAAATTATTTCGCAAAACCTTTCTTCGAAATCAGACAGAAAAGAAGAGAAAATTCATTTACATATCTAATGGAATGTGAATCAATTGGATCCATTAGAGAAAAATTTCGAATAAAATTTTATAATCCGATTTACATAGAGAAAATAATAATATAATAATAAAATGTATTACATGCCTGGATCAGCGAAATATCTTTGAGATCTGGCTGCAATTGGTGCATCAGATTCTCGAGATTTCTTTGCTGTCGGGAGCTGTGGTGTAGACATGATAGATTTATAAGAGCTGGAGCCACGTGTTTTATTGAGAAGCTTTTCTCTGATCTTGTTGATGTCCAATCCCCACTTTTCTGCCATTGCAGTAATTTGTGCTGAATTAGAATTCTTCAAAGCAGTCTTCATTTGAGCATCACCTCTTTGAGCATCAGCCTTCTTCTTTGCTAACTCAGCTTTGGCTCTTTCTTGTCTTTCTAAGGCAATTCTTCTTTCTGCCTCTTCTCTTGCGAGAACTTTCATATGTTCGTCGTATAATCTTGCCTTCTCTCTTGCTTCTGCTTGCTTTTGTGCGTTCATCATTGCTGCCTGTTGTTTCTTCTCTTCTAATTTAATTTGTTCCGAAATTGCGTTTTTAACTCTTTGTCTTGCAGAGTTTTGTTCTCTTTCATTGATGAGTTCTTTGTGTTTCATCTCATTCATCTTGTATTGCATCCTCTTTCTCTCAGCAATTTTCCGTTCTGTGACTTGGATGTGGAACAAAGCTTTCTTGTGCTTTTCTTCTTCTCTTTGTTTGAGTTCCAATGTCTTTGCGTTTCTGTCTTCAATGAATTTCTTCATAACAGCTTCTGTTCTGAGAGATTTTGCATCAGATTCTTGTCTCTTCCTGTCAATCATGTCTTGTTGCTGTTGCCTGAGTTGTTCAAGTCTTTCTTGTGCTTCTTTGGCCAATCTTGCGTTTTCTATTTCTCTTTCTTTCTGTTCTTGTAATCTCTTTTCTGCGAATCTTCTCTCCCTTTCTTCGATTTCTCTTCTTTGGATATCGGCTCTTCTTCTCTTTTCGCTTTCGGCCTTTTCTGCTGCTGCCTTTGCCGCTTCCATCTTCTTCTTTCTCTCGATTTCTAAGCGTTCAAATTCTTCCTTTCTTTTCTCTTCACGAGCTTTTTGTAGTTTTTCGAATCTTTCCATGTCTTCTCTTTGTTTTTCGAGTTTCATTTGGTTCTCTAAGTTCCTTTGTCTTTCGGCTTCTTCTTGTTTGCGTTGGTTCTCAAGGTTTCTTTGTTTTTCTGCTGCCCTTTTACGTTTAACTTCTTCTTTTTGTCTTGCGATTTCGGCAGCTTCCCTTTGTCTTTGTCTTTCGTCTTCTTCGTTACGTATTTGCTCTTTGAGTATAGCAGCGATTAAGTTTTCTGCTTCTTTGATGTTCCTTTGGCGTTGACGATCTTGACGATCTGCTTCTTGTTCAATAAAGGACTTACGAGAGCTTGCTCCTGATTTTATCTCCTTTGCTTGTTGCGATTGCCTTGATTGGCTGTAATTTGCTGATCTAGCGGCCAAAATAACATCTGGAGGTGGAACTCTTTGTAAACGCTCGCATTCGCGCTGTACAAATGCTCTAACTCTGTCAACTCTTTCACAAAGTTGTCTTCTTACATGTGGAATGAGAACAGGATCGTGAGTATACTGATAAATTGTTTTTTCGTCTGGGTAATAGATATCATCTTCGGAAATGGAGAGATTCGAGATTGCCTCGAGTGTAAGCTTATCTGTGATCGGTTTTGATTTATCGTTAGGATCATAATTCATAATCGAACATCCGTTAAAATCTCTATAAACAACATCGGCACTGTCTTCGTAATCGTTATTGTTATCGATATCATTTGTGGTTGCTCTTCTGTGCCTTCTCGGAGCTCGATCGCCTTTTCTGACAAGTTGACTTTCGTTAACCTCTGTTTCAAATGTAATATCGGTTGCAGTACCTTGATCTTTGTTGGAACCGTCATCATCAGAGTTTTCGGATCCTTCGGAGGAATTAGTTCTTATAGCCTTTCTGCGGCGGCTTGTATTAGGCTCTGATGGCTCTTTTGGCTTTTGATCAGAATCTTCCTTATTGTTAGAAGTATCAGAATCGGTTGAACCTACATTTTCATTGTTTTTAGGGTCGTTATGGATGCCCTGAGGAGGTAGATTTATGAGATTCTTGATATTATTCGAGATCTCACCGTCATTGTTGGTCTTTTTAGTAGGTGTTGCTTGGTTATTTTTAGTTGATTCCTTTTGATTGTTGTCGTTATCTTCGAAATCAGAAGAATAACCTTCATAATCCGAATTTTTGGTCTGATCTGTCTTCGATTCGATGGTTTCTCCACCTTGGTCTTTAACGTCACTCATGAAATATTTATCAACGAAAATATGCCTTCAAAATAAATTTTATGCAGGAATAAAATTTTCTTCTCTTTTCGCTATAAAATGATCCAGTGTCTTATCTACATTGTTTGTTTAAAGTTTCCTCGACTTCTTCCAAAAGCGTTAAGTATAAAATTAATCAAAATAAAGGTAAAAAATATATCTTAATTTTCATTTTCTCAATCTTTGAAATTATTTAGAATTTTTCATATCAATAGATCCATCTATTTTTTACCACTTAATAAATTGCCTGTGATAAAATTAGAAAATTTATATTCTTTCCAAAAATAATGTTCAATATTTTGCTTTATGTATAAGCCGTTCTAACATATATATGGTTCATTGCTAAAATACCAAATAACATATGAAATAAACTCATTGCTATAACGATTCCTCAATTTATGGAGCAATTAAATTCAAATTCTTGGCATATTATGCAATATTATGATGCGATAATACGTTGTTCTTAGTATTAATGCTATTGGTTTTAATTTTTCACTTACTTTCAAACCCGATCAAAGAGTTTATTTCGCTCTTATAAATCGATTTTTTGAGAGTTTGAAATTGAAAGTGTTAGCAAGGTTGAAAATTTTTCAAATCTTAGCAAATTTTGGTAATTATATTAATATCTATGTTTTTCAATTTTACCTTCTTTCAATTTTCGCTCTCAAAAAATTCACGGTGAATCCAAAAAAAATTTGGATACCTGAAAAATTTCATCGCGAAATTTCTTCATTTTTCCACAATGAATTCCCAATTCCTGATGGTTCCATTCCCACCAACAAAGAACAAAGATTCTCGCACAGATAATGCCCTTAATAGTGTTTTTGGTGGAAATGCACAAAATGTAGTTTCAATCGCAAAGAGAACAAGATTTCCAACATATGATGAACAAGCATTCAAGCAATACATTCCAATGCTCAACACATTGCTTCATGCAAAAGTTCCTACATCATACACAAATCCATTTAAATCTGCCTACTATTATGATTCTAATGATGGCAAAGTAGAAGTTGTAAATACACTCTGGAACTATCTTGCCACATTACATCAAAGAATCCAATTGATTGATTCTTCTTGTGTTGATTATCTCAGAGAATTCAATCCAATTATGGCAGATTGTGAAGCAATTACAGAGAACTTAGCAATGCTGCTCAGTGATATGAGCCATCCATTCTTCAACATGCTTATTGTTGAATATACTATGGCATATCACAAATATCTTATTTCTTTATGGCAAGTTGCAATTCTTCAGGTCAGCGGCAAGAATCCAAACTATCTTGGATGCCAAGCACTTACTGCCATTGAACAATTAAAGGAATGTGTAAGAGTTGCAGATCAAATGCCAGAAGTTTCACGTTCTTACTTCTATCCAATCTCCACATTATCACTTGCATACTACCAAGCATACGCATATCTTCAATTTGGCAATTTCCAGAAGTCGAATCAAGAATATGCTCTTGCAATTCAAGCTTACCGCACAGGATTCAACTTCATTAACAGAAAGGTTGTTAAAGTTGACTTCTGCCAATTCCTATCTAATGCTGTTACAACAATGAAGAAGGCAATTGAAACAACAAAAGATTTCAGTGAAAGAGAAAATCGTGAAGTATACATGGTGCGCATTCCTGAAGGAGATTACAATGCTCCAAAACCATTCCCATTACAGAACATCAAGATGAACGAAAAGCTTCTTATTTCCCAGCTTTTCAAGGAAGTTAATGAAATGATCAGGAACGATCCATTCAAAGACATGCAAGCACCAGAAGAAAAGGAAGAAGAGAAAGAAATTGATCCATTTTCTGACTGGGAAGTTGTTTCTAAACTCAAATCAGATGCAAATGACAAAGCAAATCATATCCAACCAATTCCTGAAATCAAGTTTGAAATAGATTCAATCAAGCAACAGTTAAGTATTGGAGCCAATTCTGATAATTTGATCTCAAGCATGATCAACGAATTCAGAAAAGGAAATCCAAGTATTATCCGTGAAACTGTCCAGAATTACATCAGAATGGCAAAAGATTTCTATACATCAATCAATGCCAGACTTGACAAATATTCAACTTCATAAGCAATATATTATAAACTGTATTTTTATTTTTATTAACTTTTATATCATTTCTTTTATTTACACTTCTCAAACACACTCAAACTATATGTAATACTGATATTCGGAAATTTATTTGTCTTTTCTTAGAGTTCTTGAATCAAATAGATATGGAATCTTACACAATATGGATTTTTATCATGATTACATCAATCAATAAATGTAATATTAATAATTATAAAGAAATTAAGAAAAATTATCGATTGTATTGCTTTTTGTTAATGATCAAATAGAGAGGTTCATTTTTGGTCTAAGGCAAAATACATCCATTATCTATTTTAGATGAAAACATCATTTGATGAAACAAATATTTCTGTATTTTTTGTTTTATTGCAAAAATCTCATAATTAATATGTGAAATATAAAACACTATGGAGTTAATTTAGACAGGATCCATTCCGAAGCTCTAGCAAATATAGAAATGCCAGTTTCTTGAGTGTAAAATAAAAAAATGTCGGAATTGTATAGAATTGTCACTTTTTGAGCCAATAATTCTGAAATAACAGTTTTGTAAAGATAGTGTAAACATTTTTTTTTGAAAACTCAAATGCAGCCAAATTCAAGATTAGGAATATCGAACTGGCCAAACAATCAAACATGGAAGTCACCTTCCCAAAAACAAAATTCACAGTCATATTTGAGCAAATCTTCAATGAATTATCCAAATAATCAAATTTATTCAACTCCTATTAGTGCAGGTATCAAACAACAAAACAAAAATGCACAAAGTATCAGTCCACAGCCATACCTTCGTCAGAATATGAGATATACCTCTCAAAATGTCAGACCACTCTCAAATTCGACCCAAAAGCCACGCCAAGCGAATTTTTACAACGCATCAGGATCTAAAAATGGCAGCCCATCTAGAAATCGTCCTGAGCATAGCGATCCAAAGGAAATTATTTCGTTAATTGAGAAAGCAAGGAAAATTCTCACAGAAGCTTCCGCGAGTCTTCACAATGATGACCAAATTAGTGAGAAGCCCATGCTTCCTGCTGTTCCAAACAGCTCAAAGACCCGCGAAATCAAAATTCCAGAAAATTCTGATACTAGCTCAACGATAAGCCAGAAAATATCAATAGAATTGAGTGATTCCGACTTTGAAGAAGAAGAAAGCGATTCTGACGATGATTTACAAGTAAATTCTTATACGAAGCCTTCTTACACTTCTCCGACATACTCTCGTAATCTTCTAAACCAGACAGAACAAAGATACAGAAGACCAGCCAGAGAAATGGTTCCAAGACCGAATATCGTCCAAAGATCTTTATCTCGACCAGCCAATCAAGAAACTGCATCCGAAACAGCTTATTCATACGCACCATCGGAATATTCCGTTGCTTATTCTACAGAAAACTCGAATTATACCTATAATTCCGCTTATTCTGACAGAGACTACGAAACGAACAGCCAGTATTACACGGAAGGACCACTTTACTCAGAATCTCGGTCACAAATTACAGATTACGATTATTCTACAGCAGTAACAGATTTCGGTACAGAGAATGCTTCTACATACGACTACTCTGTTTATACTGATAACCAGTCGTATACAGAGTCTGTTCAAGCTGCAGATACAAAAAATTTTTATTCATCTCAGGAACAAGCACAAAACTATTCTGATGATGAGTATAACTATTATAGTGATAACGAATATTAATTGAATTTTGTTGTTTTGTCTAAGTTTGTTTGTATTTTTAATTTTTATTTTCGAATTTCCGAGTAAAACTATATAAATTATACTAATTTTGTTTTGTCTCAACTTTGTTCGTTATATATTTTGATATAAAGCATTCATTTCTTTGGTTTTTTAATTTTTATTTTCGAATTTCCGAGTAAAACTATATAAATTATACTAATTTTGTTTTGTCTCAACTTTGTTCGTTATATATTTTGATATAAAGCATTCATTTCTTTGGTTTTTTAATTTTTATTTTCGAATTTCCGAGTAAAACTATATAAATTATACTAATTTTGTTTTATATCAACTTTTTTCGTTATATATTTTGATATAAAGCATTCATTTCTTTGGATTTTTAATTTTGATTTTTCGAAATTTCAATTAGAACTTTATTAATTATACTAAATCTATTTCACATTATCGATATCTATTAGAATTTAACTCAAAATTTCTGTTTCTTCATATTTTCGTTGGAATTTTTAGAATTTTCATCTGAAACTATAAGTATTATACTAAATTTATGACAATTTATCAATTCTTAGAGTACAGAAGTTGATAGGTGTCGTCAGAGGCCTGATATTTTTAATTGTCATTTATTTTGTACAAAATCGGTATTTTTCTGAGGCATTATCGGAATTTTAAGGTTACTCAAAAAATCATAAAAATTAAATATGTATAATACTTTCTATCCATTTCAAACTAAAATTGTTTTTTTGTAAAACATTCAATTTTGTGACACAAATTTTAAATGGCTCTAAAAAATTACAATGCTCTTAAGTATTTTCAAAAGAGTAATGGATGTAGGTTCCAAGCTTTATTTATCTGCAATCACCCGAGTTCAATAATATATCTATGTATTATGACTTTACTTATTCTTCCATTTTATTTTTATTCAGCAAAGATGATTCGAAGACTTAAATTTCAGCTCAGAAATCCATTCATACCAGGCCTGTTTTATTCAGTGACAAGCGGAGCCTATCATATTTGGTATTGGTACAATCAATATGTATTTTTTTCATAATCAGGATGATGATTTCTTTTTTCGGATTCAAGGAATTTGGGACAACATTGGAAGACTTGCATCTATCATGCTGTTTCATCAAATAGCTTCATTTTTACTGACATTTGATATTAAATTTGCAAAATTCTTGAAATATTTCAATTACATATTCTTCCTAATATATACAGTACGCTTAGTTGGAAGCGTTGTCTATTCTTTCGATCGTAATTTACAATTTGGACGTAATTCTCCATTTTTTATGGATTATGGGATGGTTTATGAACTTTTATATGGCTTTCAGGATATCTATTCCCTTATTCTACTCAATATTTGCTTTGTTTTATCAAATATCAAAGATTATGTTCCGAAGAAATTTATTAAGCCAATTTATGTCTCAATTTTTACATTTACTCTCGGATTATTTGTTCTTTCAGGTTTTGACTCTTTTTATGACAGTAAAGTTGTATTTCAATACCAATGGTTTGATCTAAACAAATTGAACAATATAAAACTGATTGTACAGCTCGCTGTAAACTTTACATGTGAAATTCCAATATTTGTTATTATTTGGATTATTTCTACAACTGATTTTGATGAAGATCAAACAAATTCATCTATAATTTCCGATGCTGACTTAATTACTTGATGTAAACTATATGACCATGTGTTTTTGTAATAAAATAAACCTATTTTGTAAGAAAAATTTAGAATCCATAGATTTTTACACTTAAATCGAGTTTAGTGTTATATGAGTTATCAATTAACTTTAAATAAACATGTATAAAAAAAAAAAAAAAAAAAAAAAGTATTGGGGCTTCCAGGCACTTCGTGCCCTCTAGCCCCGAAGATGTTTTGTCACTTTTCTGTCACTTTTCAGGGGAAAAACATTTTTATTAAATATAAAATGAATTTTACAAAACCACCGCTACCCTTCTTTGGAAATAAGAGTAGATGTAAAGATATTCTATTGAGAGAACTTAAGAAACTACCGAATGGTCTAACATTTGTAGATTTGTTCGGTGGAAGTTTCTATATATCTCATTTGTGCCATACTGTATTTCCTGACTCAAAGATTATATGCAATGACTTCGACAACTATATGAACCGTCTCAAACATATACCAGACACAAACAAAATATTGAGTGAGTTGAAAGAAAAGATACCTATAGGTAAGATGGAACGTATACCATTAGATAAGAAAAATACTGTCAGAGAGGTTTTGAAAAAAGCAGAGTATATTGACTGGGATAGTATATCTGCTAGACTATTATATAGTGGTGCTATAAGAGTTCATGACATTGAAACACTTATGTCAAAAGTTTTATATCTTAACTATACAAAGGTTTTCAAAGAGAACATAGAAAAATATACTGAGGGTATAGAGTTTGTGAGATGTCGTTGGACAGAGTTGTATGAAAAATATAAAAACAAGGAAAATGTTTTCTTTATAGTAGACCCGCCGTTCTATAACACAATATGATTTTCAATACCAAGTAGACTGGACTTTGAGAGACTCTTTAGAAACTTTAGACGTTTTACATAACCATCCATGCTTTTACTTTACATCCGATAAAAGTGGTTTGGAAAGTGTCATGAGATGGTTAGAGGACATACATGACTATGAGTTTAGATACGATAAGATAGAATATGAGAGAGGTCCTATAAAACCGGAGAAAGTGTCATAACAAAGAAATTTTATTGGTAAGTAAATGTGGTTTGAAATAGGACTACTTGTTTTAGGTTTTTTCCATTGTGTCATTTACTTATTTGACGTGGCAGAAAGATATAGAGAATATGAAGATGAACCAATGCCTGCAAATGTTCAGCATATGTACTCGTAAGAGATATTTTTATCTAATATTAAATGGACGCACAGAACTTAGCGAATGCACAGCAAACCTGGACAACCAAACCCAGAGAATATTCCAAATGAAGTTAGAATACAAACTGCAATGGCAAACTATGGTCAAGTGCCAACAGATGTACAAATGCAAACTGCCATGTCAAATGACGCTGCGTTAGGCTTACCACCATGGTATGCAAATATGAGATGGAAAGAGTTTTATACAAACCCTGAAGTGGGATATAAACAACTCTATGCAGATGACGCGAACACAGGAGTTGACCCAGAGTATGTTTTCTACCAGAGGAGAAATAGAATGTATGAGCTCCAGTTAAAAAATGCAATGGAACTCAGAAGGAAACGTAAGAGACTAGGCGGACATTAGATTTTTACATATAGTAAAATGGGTTTCTTTGGAAGAATAGGAAACTTCTTTCGAAATGTTGGAAGAGGTATATGGAATGGAATAAAAACCGTAGGAAGAGGAATTTGGAACGGAGTCAAAAATATTGGCAAAAGAGTAGGTCAGTTCGTTGGTATTATACCTAAAGACCCTGAACCAGAAGAACAAGCTCCTGTTATACAACAGCCTGAACCTGCACCACAGTCTAGTTGGCAACCAAATCCAACACCTCAACCGTATTAAAAAATTATATTTTTACCGTTCGATAGTAGTTGTATATGAAACTAAGTTCTAAGTAAAACGCATGGTATAATGGAACTATTCTCTTTCTTCCATCTGTTGTAAACCATACTTGAAAGTCTGAAATACTTCCACTCGGTGGTTCATATAGCTTTGTAGGTTTTTCGTAAAAGTCATTTGCCAAGCATAAAAAAGAGTTTTGTGCACCAGAAAATGAAGCATGAACTATAATAGCATCTGAGTCGAAAACATTTTCATATGTTCCATTAGGGTTTTCGACTTCATAAAAGTTCGGGTGTACTGGATATTCTGCTGGCTGATTTAACATCCTCAAAAATCTATACCATGCCAAGTTGTTATATTTTGTAGAAATATAAACGTCTTCTCCAAGGTCTTCTATTCTATTGATTTTAACAGTTGCATTTTTCCTGTCATATAAAATATCGAGATGGTACTCTCCTTCGTCAATGTTGTACTGTTTTGCATATTCGAGATAGATATCGTTTATTTTTTCTTGAAAAGCTTGAAGAGTTGTTTCTAAGTTTACAAGCAAACTAACTTGTAAAAGTTTTCCCTGTTCAAATTTCTCATACGTACGTTTTTCTTTGTTATAGTATCGAATTTCAAAAGCGACCGTAAATGGGAAACCATGTATGGCTTCTGAAATGAACTTCATTCTACGAAAGCCAATAGCTTTTGTGACGGATGGGTCTCTTAACCATCTTAGTGGGTAGTCAAAACGATAGCCATCATGCTTTACGGTCTCTGTCTCAAACTTTTGACCGACATTCGTAAAAAGTTCATCTAATGGTTTAGTTGTAGCAACTCTTGAATTTTCTTTTTCTATTGAAAGCATATTTTATCTAGAATAAAAATGTCGAAAGAAACAGCGTCTATGAGAGAAATACAACACAACCGACAACTCATTTTGCAAGCTCTAAATAAGAACACAACAAACTTTTCAAACTATTCTAAGATATCTGAGTCATTGAAAGAAGGAAACTTAAAACTGACATTAAACCCATTGACAGACGAGTTTCTGTTTCAAGACAGTAAGAACCATACTGTTTGTATAAATCCAACAAAAAGAACTTTAAACGAGAAACCTATAGATGAACTTCTTTTGAAGGCAGATATTGACAACAAAGCTGACAAAGCGTATGTAGATGCAACAAGAGACTATATTCTCGCATGGACAGATAGAACATACCCACAAAAACATCATACACATAACATCTATGACGTAGATGAACTTCAAGAAATGTTAGATGACAAAGCGGATAAAACATATGTTGACAATAAAATGTCAAGTGAAGTGACAAGAGCTGACAAAGAATATTCTAAAAAGACTCATACACATACCATTGCAAATATTACAAACTTACAAGAAACCTTAAACAAGAAAAGTGACGTTGGACATACACACGATTTCTTCGCAACTGTTGGTATAGAAAATATTGCAGGAACGGTTGAAGAACCTGATGGAACTGGTG